AAAATTTTTTAAAGTTTTTTTTGGCCAAAAGGGGGTGGGAAGGGTTTTTCCCTGCCCTCCCCTTCCACCCCGCTGGTTTTGAATGAAACCCTTCCCAACCACTTGTGTGCTTGGTGTTGTCCCCCACCCCCAAGACCCCCCCCCCCCAAGGTTGGAGATTAAAACGGGCGGGGGGGGGCCCCCCCTTCCCCCCCTGAAAGAGTGGGTTTTGTTTTTTTCTTCACCTCCCTCAAATTTTTCGCCCCCCCCCCCCCCCCCCCCCTACAAGGAAACGTCTACCGCCTCCACAAGCGGAAACCCTCCTCGTCGACAATAGCGCCAGAAGCCACACAAGCAGCAACAACCACGGACAGAGGCGGCGGCGGGGGAGCGCTCGACCCTCGAGGGGGACGCCTGCCCAACGTCCCCGCGGGAGGACAGGGCTCTTCTTCGCTCGGCCTCGGGATTTCGTACGTCTCCTTCCGCGTGAGGCCAGGAACCGCCGCGGGTATCGCGCGCTTCTACCGGGAACTCTTCGGCGCGGAAGCGCAGGAGATGGGCGGCGGTGGAAGTGGCGACGGCGACGGCGGCGGCGGCAGCAGCAGCGGTGAAGACGTTTGTTCAGTAACGCAAGAAGGAGACTCGGGGAAGGGGTTACGTTGTTCGACGGTGAGGGGCATCATGTGTTTTTAGACGTTTATTTTCCCCCTTTGTCTTGGCTTGTTTGTCGTTCATGTTTATGCGGCTGTCGCAGCGCGCTGCTGCTGCTACTACTACCGCTGGCGCTAGTGAGTTTGGTACTGCTGGTGCTGCTGCTGTTTTGGTACGCTCGGAACTCCCTTGGTCCTCAACTGTCAGCCAGTGTCTCTCTACATGGACACAACCAACCGCCACACACACATGATGCTGTCGGCATATTCCACTCGTTTCTGTTCCCCTTTTCTAAAAGCGTAGATTGGATAGCCCATGGTATTGTCGACAAGTCTCTTCCGTCTGTGCCATAGCCTGTCGTCGCTCTCAAGTGCCTCGTGTTTATGCCGTAGCAGTCTTTCTCCTACCGTGCTTTTGGCCACGCTGGCTGGGCGGAACAATGCGGTGTGCGAAACGATGTGATACCCCTTGCCCGGCAATTTCAATAGCGTTGTACGTGGCCTTGTAGGAGAACCACTACTACTGTGCTATCCACATTTTGAGTCCGTCGACGGAAGCGAGGTTAGGAGCGGGGGGGAGGGCAATCGTGAGAGTCAGACCCGTAGTTTCGCGTGGACCAAATGCCAAGCCGGACCAAGCGATGGCCAATCGATCGCGCTAGTATGTTTCCGGCGAAAAACGTCGTGCTCACTCCTGACTGGCTACCTAGCTCGGTGGGTTGTGGTGCTGTAACTTTGTTTGCTGGGGAACAGGAGCACCAGAAAGCGTGAACTTGTCCAGCCACATAACCGGAACAAGACTACCGCCGTCTTTTAAGTTGGGTCCGTTTGTGTTGTCGGTTGTTTGGTGAAGGCCACAGAGGCGGACAAGAGACGGGGCACAGCGGCGGTCGTAAGGGTTGGGCCGGTCCAACACCTGGCCTTCGTGGAGGAGGAGGACGAGGCCCTGCTGCAGCAGGAGTACGACGGTCACCACATCTGCGTCTACCTCCCTGAAGAAGGTGGAGCGGTAGCCGATGGCCGGCGGAACCAGAAACGAATTGAGAAGACCGCTAGTTACACAGGGGCGCAGGACCAGAGAATGGAGAATGAGGGAGAGGGGGGGGGGGGGAGCAGAGAAATGAGGCCGGTCCATCGCTCTTACCTCTCCTTGTGTCGCGGTGACATTCCCGCCTTCAGATCGTTTCGACAAGAATGGAAAGTGCCATTCCCGCCTTCAAATCAGTTCGAGAAGGATGGAAATCTTGAAACTCTTCGACCTCGGAAGTTTTTAGTGCTGGCGTCTGGTAGAGTGTTACCAGTAGTTCATCTCTCTCCCCCCTGATATTCACTCTCGGTGCAAATTGCGCATATAGGTTAAAAAGCTTGCTGCCTTGAACGCACCATCTTTTCAGGATTTCGACGCAGCTTTGAGGAGGCGGAACGGCGGGGGCTCGTGTTCGTCAACCCTCGCAGAAACTTTGGCAAAGCAGACACTCTCGAGAAGGCTCTCGAGGAAAAACAGTACCGCATCAAGGACCTGGTGCGAACGATTGCCTTTTCTTTTCTGAGTTTGGCACACAGCAGATGTGGATGTAGAACGTAGGCAGAAAAGGACGGCAGTCAGGCGTTTGTTGCCGACGTCGGCCGCCATTTCGCTTCGTGGCGTTTTTATTATATGATCTTCATGTTTCGGTACGCCAGAACCCGGTGGTGGTGATGCTGGCAGAAAGAAGCGCCATCACCCAAGTGGTCTGATCCGTCCGCTTAAGACCACACGTCCCTCAAAGTTGTCGGTCTACGACTGCATCGGAGATTGGTCTTTTTGGCACCGTACCGCGTTCATTGCCCTCAACATGCGTTTCCGGTTCTATGTCGGTTTGTCTCACCTTGCTCGAACGAGAACGTCACAGCCAACCCAAACATTATCTTTAAATTTTCCTATTTTCGTTGTTGGTTCCACCGCCGCCGACACCGCCGGATCATGTTTCATCGTGGGGTGGGGTGGGTGATGCGGGATTGGCAGGTGGATCCGGCTACGGGAGAGCTTTTGCACGTGCTGGAGCACGAGATTCGGAGCATCTCCCACCCATCCTATCCCGTAGCACGAGATTTGTCCGCCCACACACCCATGTAGATTTTTTTCAGAGTGCAAATGGAGTATCAAATTTTATATTTTGTTCCCGAGCGACTTGAGAGTCTACACGTGAATCGTGCTTGGCGAAGTGCGGGAGGAACAAGAGTAGGCGGGGGGTGGTGGCGGAGGTGGTAGGTTCGGAGCAGCGATTTTCTCGTATTGTTTTCGTTTTGTCAGCCTGGGCGATTGTTGTTCCTTCTAGCTTCCAGTTGCCGACCAACCCCTTCCTGGTTTGATTGATTGATTGCTTGGTTTCTTTCAGTTGCCGAGCTCTTGATATTGGTAACAACCACGAGTTGCCTACCCTGCTTCCCAATTCGTCGGTTTTGTTGGCGCAACCTGACCTGCCGATCTATCTTCCCTCGAGAGTGGCCTTTCGAATTTCTTGTGCCCCTTCTCCACACGTCTACGCCCGTGTTTCGTTCTTGAGTTCGAGTTACAGTACGGCCGCACCCCGTCGGGCGAGTGCCATAGATATTCCGTCTGACTCGCATGTACAACAACATTGCGCATGCTCTATGTTCTCCTTGGGCGTTTTGTGATGGAGTTTGTTGTCGTGTTACCGTGGGTGCGGGAGAGTGCGGTGGGTGGCGTGTACCTGTTTTACCCACCGTGTTTCGTCACCCTTGCTACAAACCTCGTGGCTACGTGATTTGCTTTTCTTGCTGGACTTCGTAGATTTGGTAGATGTTGTTGGTTCGCGTGGAATAGGTTTGTTGTGCGGAAGATAATTTTTCTCTCTCGCCATCTGTTTCTTGTATCTACATTGTACACGCTCTGGGAACGCTGTGCTGAGAACATGGCTTGCTGCTCTGCAGCACGCCTTCTGAAGGCTGCCACAGTCGAACGTCCCGCGTCAATTAACACATTAGTGGCCAGGAGAAAATTCGTCCACTACACGAAGAGTAACGACATCGCCCTGACCCTACATTCCGTACATTCCCGAGCACCTTGGATTACAGTTGCTACTGACTGATTGCCCTGCCCTACAGGACTAAGCTCCATAAGGCTTCGAGCCGCGCTTGCTACTGTTAACCTCAACCCCGCTACCGCCGCTCCCTCTTATGAGCGTCTCCGGAACAAACCCAGCGGCGCCCACTGCTTGGATAGGAGGCACTGTAACCGCGATGACGTTTCGCCTATGGTGCTCCAACGTGGATGCGAAGCCTTCGTGGTTGTCTCCCGCGCCCGCGGCAGGTGTTCGCTCATCGGCCGCCGCCGCCGCACCACCGCCACCTTCACCGCTGACACGCAAGTGCTCTCCTCCTTTTCCTCGCCCCGCCCCCGTCCTTCCTCTCCCTTCCGCTCCCCCTCGTCCTCTCCTTCCTCCTTTGAAAATCCTGTTGCCCACTGCCCCGCGCGCATGCGCTCCATCGACGCTAGTGGGGGTGTCCAAACCGCCGACCCCTCCGACCCCGCCCCCTAGGCCAGAAAAAAGCTGCCGAACGAGCGGGGCTTGGGTCATGCCACCGTACCGGATGTGATCCGGGGCCGGGCTGGGCTCGCGAGCGGACACCCTCTCCGCGCGGAAGGCCTCGGACTCCACGGCCTGCCACATCGTTGTTGGAACGACAGACAAATGTCCAAGTTGACAACACACGGGTGATTGTGGCGACTGGAATAAGAACATGCCCGTGTTCGAATCCATGGGAAATTGCGTTGGTCGGTTATCAGGTTGGTGCGTATGGTACATAACTTCCGCACCACAACTGCTGATGGCGTCGGTACCGCTGCCGAGGGGTACGCGTGACGATTACATTGCGCTATTGCTCGCATCCGTATCGCCTGAATTTCGACGGCTTGCGCCAGGCTGCAGCCTATGGCGAACATCGCCAACAAGTTAGTGGTGCGACTTGAACGACCTTATTATGTCGAAAACATCCTTGTTTGGTTTGGGTAAGCTCATGTCTACCTTTAACTTGGATTGCTCTACATGTAGCTATTTGTATGCCGGTGTTATTGACCTCTGATGCACACGGAGGGGTGCGGTCTTCATAAAGAAACGGCGCGCACTAGTTATCGAGATCGACTAACAACACGGATAGCAGGCCGAGCCGGTGGCGCCCTCTGCTGTACCCATGCGGAAGGGAAGTGTTTACCGCACCCCTGGCTGAGCGGAGAATCGCCTAACCTTTCGAGCACCGTCCGAGAGCAGGCCGTACGTTGCACTCAACGCCGCCGGAGGGAACAACGGAGATTGCCGAGTCGTCGGTTGGGGACCGCCCGTCGCCGGTGGGAGACGGCTGTTGCTGTTGGCATGAGCGCCCACTCCCCGCGCCGTCCTCGAGCGCGCCCCTCCACTGCCCGGCCGAAAGCCGGCGGCTACCGCGTTGGTCCCGCCACCACCCACCAGGCGCTGCGGTGCCGCTGAGCTTGGGCGGTTGTTTCCGAAGGGTCGCGGTTCGAGCGTGCTCGATCTGGTTTGATTCAGGTCAGTTCGGGGTTCGGGGTATAGGGTACAGCAGCGAGATTAGGGAACAAGGGGCGGGGAGGATGGGATACAAGAGGCACGGGAAAGGGTGGGAAAGAGAAGCTTTGAACCTTTCAAAGAGGGGCAGGGGGAGGATTCATTGGTGGCATCGGACTACTTTCGTCAGGGGTGTTTCTTGTACGAGTCAGGTAGACACTTCCTACCGTTCGGTCGTAAATAGTTGTTCTGAAGCGGAGAAAAAAGAAGTAAGGGGGCTACTCAGTTGCTAACACAGCTGCATCTGATGAGTGTTTCTGGGAATCAGAAATAGCGAATCCATGAAACATGCGAGCTGCAATACTTGTACAGCGCCACAGCCCTCGCCGTCACCAAAGTGCAGTCAAACCTAGCGGAGGGGGCCGACCCGGGGCGCTTGTTGGTCTGCTCACGCCGACTATCGGGAGACCGAGATCCGCTTCTATCCGCCACCATCTCTCTCGGCCCGTCCCCTGTCGGGTGCTCTTCTCCTTCGAGGCCACGACCGCCGGGTGTTCCTCCTGCTGCCATTCGTTGCTGTTGCTGCTGCGCGCGCATTGCCGCATCTTCGGCGCTCTCCAGTACTTCTGGCAGCTGCTTGTGGAAGAGATAGAGATAGAGCGTGTCATCGACAGAAAGTTCGTGGGCGAACACCTACGAGATGGTCGATTGGCCGATGATGACATGCCGATTTCTTGTCGCTGTGGTTTACTTCGAATGCCGTCCGTCTCCAGTACAGGCACACATTTACCGAGAAGTTTTCTAGGTGTCAAAGAGTGTTGTTACGAGCAAGAAACCCGAACCTGTCTCGTTGGTATAACCAGCCGAGAGAGGTGCAGATAGCCAACACCAAAGTGTCCGTGCAATTCCCTCTTGACCGGAGGTTGTTTTGGTCGGGTTTATGGACTCAAAACGTTTGCGGAGAACAACTGTGGAAGTAAGTGAGGACGCCCACTCCCAAGAGGGTTAATCAATCTGCTGTGTAAAGCCTTCGCAGCCGCGTGGTGTGCCTACGGTCATGGAGAGGCTGAATGAATAATCTAGTCTATGTGTAGTCTACCCACCTGCTGCGCCAGTTCCAGCTCCTTGAAACTGAGCTTGTTGAAGGCGCGGTCGCAGCTGAGACACTTCTTGGCCATCGATGGCTCTTCGGACTCCTCCTGGAGAAGAGCGGATACCCTCGACACCAGAAGCGCCATCTTTCGCTTGGTATAGGCTTTGTCGGCTTTCCGGGCCAACGCCTCCTGGGGAGATCAAAATTGCAGTATTTTTCGTGTGGGTTTCATTTCGGCAGCTCAATTTCATTTCCATGTGCATGTTTGCTTGAAACTTGCACTGTGATGACGGACAACAAAATAAATAGGCGCTTTGCGTATGAATTAATTTTCTTGGTACACCCGGTTTTATTCCATTCTTTTTACAAGCGACCAGCTGTTGGTGTCGAAAATTGCGTCTCCATAGACGTAGGTCCCTAGCGGCCATCAAGCGTGGCTAAGGAACACCCAGCGTGGGAGAATCTTGCAGACCCTTTTTCTCCCAATTCTCGTCTGGACAAGGTTATCTCAAAGTTGTCTTCTTCTCCGCTCTATCCGGGTATCATACCCGTTGAAGTTTTCTTGAACGTCGGGCATAAACATAGTAGTACGATTGCGTGCAAGATCACTAGACCGCGCAAACGACCAACATGAAGAGCTCTATTTTTCGCTCGGAGATCGTACAAGGTATTTTCGCTGGGGACGGGCCACCAAGCGACCGCCCGTTAAGCTGGTCCATTGGTTGGTGCGTTTCTCGCGCGTGGCGTTCCACGATTTTGGTGTCTCCGCCGGATTCTAACTGCCCATCCACTGCTTCAAACAGGTCTGCATTCTTTGGATACAGCTACAATCAATCATGGCGGTAGATGCATACGTTATTTATCACCTGGAGTTCTTGTAGGGCTTTTTCGCCGGGAATGGACTGTCGAACCACGGTGAGAGTCTCCTCGACGTCGCCCATGGCCCTCGTGATGGAAGCCAGGTCCTCCTGCCCGGCCTTGCCGTCGAGGAGGGACTTCAGATGTCCCAACTGACGGTTGTTTTCAGGCCAAAGGGGGAGGCTAAGTATTTCTAGAAAAACACTAACGTTTGCGGACTTAGTTAGTAGGCTGTAGACCCGTGCATCCTTGCGATAACAAGCCGAGAAAGACGGAGAAGAGGGTATACGTCGACGTTTCGCAATGAAGGGGGCCGTGGACTTATTGTGGACCCCTTACTGTTCAGTGCTAAGGCTACCATGCCCAGGGTAATACTGGGAGCAGCAAATGAAAACTAAGTTTCAGGCGCTGCTTTGCATCAGAGAACGCGAGAGGTCAGTCTGGTTGCGTCGACCACGTGTCTACTAGCTGGAACATTGTCCCAGTTTCCAACCCCTTCGTAGAGCAATGCGTTTATTGTAGGAACCACGTAACCTTACAGAGAAACTCCACTACTTGTAGGCACTGGTTAACATGAGCGACATGTCTACACAATACATGGGTCTTCCGAAAGACGACTGTTGGCTGGACAAAGTCCAGCCACGAGCAAATTATCCGCGCACACCCGCTTGTGGTTCAGATGTACGTAAGCATGGCATGCCAGCAAGGAAGCCACATGGTGTATATCTTGGCGAGTGCCGTGGTTCGCGAGTCGGCCAGATACACTGATCGAGAGGATACGTATGTACGGATGCACACGAGGCTGTTGTTTTCCTTGCCTGTGACTCCAAGAGCTGGCCCACGCGCTCTCTCTCCGCCCTGGCGCGCTCGTAGTTGTCGCGCTCCAGCCTGTCCCTCTCGGCCCGCATTGCCTTCGCAAGCTGCTCGTGGAACTGTTGCCGGACACCCCCAGGATTTTGTTTTCAACCCCAACAGGAAGGGCGGGGAGAGGGCGGCGTACCGCGTGAGCAAGGATGGGATGTCGTTGGGAGAAGGCAGCACGCAACTGAACAGAGTTCTATCGAAAATGAAACCCAAAGAAAACAGGGAAAACAGAACCACCCCCCCAGAGGGTCCACACAACAAGAACAGTCGAGCCGCAGGGATGATGAAAGACACAACGGAAGAGGTGCAGCCGAGGAATGGCTAGTGGTGTGTTTTGTACGTGTCATGATGGAAGAAATGGATCGACATTGAAGGTGGGTATCTCCGCAGCATAACATTTTCCAACGACGCCAGGAGCGGCGTCGGAAAGGAACCTTTTCCAGAGACGCACCATCGTTTGTTATTCGTCGACCCCTTCGTCTACCAAGCTTCCGGGGGATATGGTATCTAGCGCAGACTGCGCGGTGTACCGTAGGTGTGGTGCCACGAACACAGGGTGTGGTGCTTTGTTCCCGCTTGGGCCTTGCTACTTTGTTTGTCGGCAATATACCAAAAATTTAAAGCTACGTGAGACGTGAATTACCATTCATACGTCTGCCAATGTTGCTTCCGCCCTCTGCACATGTGACCAAATCAAGCTATCACGGACGCTACTTTCTCGGGGGGGGGGTCAACTGCCATTCGCCTAGGCATGGTGCCGGTGTGTATCAATTGGGTCGATACGGTAGGCTGGGATACCGTGTACAGAGCAAAAGCCACCACACCACTATCACCAGCAACAACGAACGTTGACCTCCGTGAGCAGCAAGCTTCCCTCATGGTGAGCAACAAGCTTACCTCCACGAGCAGCAAGCTGCCCTCGTTGCGAGCCGAGGCGGCGGCCGCCGCCGCCCTGGCGGTGGCGTCGAGCGCCTCTGCCGAGGCCTCCCTCGCTCCCGCGCGCGCCGCCGCCGCCGCCGCGACCGACTCCCTCGCCGCCAGCTCGGCCGCTAGAACGTCCCGCTTCAGCTCCTTCGTCAGCGAAGACACCGCCCGGTGAGCCGCGCGGGATCTCGCCGACGCTAGGAACGACGACAGGTGGCCCAGGGAAAGGACGAAGCACTGTTGTGGGGAGGAGGGGTAGGCCAGCGGAGGGTGTACAATTAATTGTTGCCGTTGCGTATGTTGTCGTAGCCTTTTGAGGTGGACGGCGGGGGGTGTACACTGCCATTTGTTGCTCGCAAACGCAATTCTTACGATCCATGGCAAGCACGTCTACGATATCCCGTGCTGATCTCAGGAAGGGCTTCCGTCGTAACGTGACAAGGTTTCAGCAGCTCAGCTACACCAAGGCACGCAATCTCCTTGCTCACGACGTGACGCACATCCGCTTGCCTGGTAAAGTGTCGACCGCACCCGGAATCCTGACGCCTTTTCCAAAGCTCCTTCCCCTGCTACGACGAAAAACCCTTCGCCCGATGGACGCGCCCCCCCGTTTTGCGCCGTCAGTGGCACGGACATGAACGTTGGCATATGCCTCAACATCGGTGGTGGTTTTTGGTGCTGCCCTTTTCCAGCCCGGTCCCCCGTCCCTGCGTCACTTTCACCGCCGGTAGCACCACTGTTCGTATGTTCCTCCGCGGCGCCCCTGTCATTGGCTTGCGCCTGGCCTTGTCGTTGCCATTGAGGTTGCTGTCTTGGCTCACCTCCCTGGTCTCTGTCCCTACCATTGTCACCACCACTTCCCCTGCCGACGTGTTCGTCGCCGTTTTTTCCTCTGGCGGAGGCGGGCGCGGCGGCGGGCACAACCGGGATAGCAGCAGCGGTACCGGCGGTGTCGAAATCTCTCCCGCACAGGCACTTGCGCCCGGGGGTGAAGGCAAACGCATCGAGGACGCGGCAGTACGCCGGGCGGGAAAGGAGGTACTGCAGGTCTCCCGCCAGCGCGCAGGAGAGACGTAGGACCTGCTCTCCCGATGCCGAGAGTCCAAGCGGTTTGCGTGATATTGTGTCGTTTGTTTAAACGAGTGGCAGTATCAGCAGTATCAAGAGTGAACCGCCTTGCTGTTGGGTAAACCTGATGTTGTAAATTCAAGATTCGCCTGGCCACGTTCAACAAAGTGGAGTAGCCCCGAAGCTGTTTACAAATATAAAACCATTGGTTGCGACAACATTGAGCTCCGTTTCTCCACTCGCTAACTAAAGAACGCCTCGTTTTAGCCCTGCAGACGAGGTACCTAGAAAACCGTCGGTCATGGCGTGAACAGGAGAGGTAACTTTGTAGAGGTTTCGGGAGGAGGTTGGGGTGGAAGGGCACAATCTCGCCCAATACTGTTGATGTCGAAGCACCAACTGTAGTCGGGCTGGCTGTCGAAAACCTTGACGAACATATCGGTAGCCGCTACTTCCGTCTTCGGGTGGAGTTTTCGACGCGTCACCAGCCATCGTTAAGACGTACCTCGCTCGCGATTGCCCCCGCTGCAGCCTCTGGGGTCGGCCGTTGTGCGTCACGGTTAACGTCACCTCGCTCCTCTGATTGCTGCGTATCGAGAAGGGTGAGGACAAGCTGTCGAGTGAGTGGCGAGAGATGGCATGCTTTCGTTAAGCATGGTGGGTGAAATGTTGGCAGTACCGTGGTAGTGGAATGTATGGTCGCAGCAAACCTGTGTCTCGTTGCGACTTCGTCTTTTGGTTGCATAGCTATGCGTACAGGAAGGCGTGGTAGGGAACTACGCAATGAGGTTGTCTCAATATGAAGAGAAGGGTACACGCCCCGTCGTCGCCCCCCCCGCCCTAACTTCCTGGAGGGTAGCTTCAGCATGACTAGCCACAAACTCTGGAAGAAAACGTTTCTTTATTGCCTGGTATTCCGCCAGAGGCCAAACGTTGCTATCTGTACATAGTTTCGAGGTGAAGTAGTGAGATTGATTGTGAATGCCCCGAGAAGAGGTAGAGCGCTCGCGAGAGAGCGCCCTTTGAGACCCCTTTCTAGGATCACGTCAGGCATGTACCTTGCATGCATAAACCAGTTATCTGTGGTTGAGAATACGTTACGATCGGAAGGAGGGTGAATAGTGAAAAAAAATGATACCCGGGAGTCTAGGGAAAAGGAAGACAAAATGAGCAACCTAGGAGACGCCAACTATTTTAATTCACCCTCAGAACGCTTATGCCAGCTCATGTAAGTATCTCCTGACGACCAAGGTTCAACCCTCCCTGTGCGCTTTCTCCTTGATCGAAGAAAGGGTAAGGCTAGGGTAGCGCGACCGCACCTCTTCTGCAGCAAACACCACGCTTGGCCTTCGCCCGGTTCCGTCCTGCACCCATGCTTCTGCTCGATCTCCTTTGCCTCGTCCATCCAGGTGATGTTGTTGCGCCACTCCTAACCGTGCGACCAGAGCACCTAGCCTAGTGCAGCGGTCCTGCATCCGCCCGATCTCCTTCTTCAGGGACGTTGCACTTCCTCGTTCGCTTTCTTCTTGTTGGTGCCCATCGTGTTCCGTGGGCACCGACGATGGCTTTCGAGTCGTCGAAGCGGCTGCGGCTGCGGCAGCGGCGGAACCTGCCACGTCCACCGCAGCTCGCGATGCCGACGCGCGGGCGCTCGTGGTACTCCCCCCTCCGCCGGTAATGCCACCGCCGCCGCCGCTGCTGCTGGTGCCGCGGCAGGCGGCCAGCGACTGTGACCTGCCTTTCTCGACATGGCTAGCGGCAGCGTTTCCCGAAAACATGTAAAAACATGATCGAGCGCATGTGTGATCGGTTGAGTCAAAGGCATCGGGAGCACAGAGTAGGGGAAAGCACGCGCAGACTCGATTCTGACGACGGGGTGCGTTGTGTAACGGAAATGCAATCGAGGACAGCTGAAGTTCACCAGGAGAAGTGTGATACGGTACCCTGGGTGGCAGCAGCAATGACTTCAGGTGTATCCGAACAAAGAAAAATGGGCACCACCTGGCAGCAAACGCTAGGCCCTCCGCGAGCTCCTCCAGCGTCCTCTCGAGCAGAAGGTCGACGCAGAGGTAACCCGCATCTTCTGCCAGCCACAGTCGACCCACGTCCCCTCCCCCTCCGCCCCCCCACACTGTGCTGCCGGTCCCCCCGCCGTCACCCCCGCCACTGCTATCACCGCTATCTTCGTCAGAAGTCCCCATCGAAATGGACGACCAGGACCTTCTTGTTTCGCGGCTGCCTCTCCTCCGATCATGGGCATCGCCACTTGGGCGTCTAGTACTACTTCTGGGTTGTTCGGGCATCATCACCGCCGCGGAGATCATGGACAGGTCTCCCTCACACGCCGGGAACAAGCAGAGTGGTGCTGAAAGATTGTCGCTGTGCCAGACGTGCCATCAGAGCCGTCGGGGTAAGAGTGGGGTGGGTGGGTACGTGCGTGGGCGTGGTTTGCATAGGGCACGAGGAACGGCTTGCACGTTGGGATCGGGTCGGGAACAGGGAAGCGACCAAATCAGTGGTGGATGCAAACGGGGATAGAACATACTTCGAATGTACGTTGTTGAACGAGTTGTACCAGACACAACGCATCGGTACAACATCTTCCACGTGTCCACCTTCGTTTTGAATGGTTACAAACGGCAAGATTCTGGTCACTTTGCGACAACAGAGGCCCAAAACACTGAAAATAAAAAAATAGCGGCGAAGCATCAAAAATCGGGTCGGGTTCTAGCTGCGAAAGCGCCCCTGTCACCCCCCCCTAACTAGATCGTACTGCTACATACGTTTCCCCGACGTGGTATGTAGGCTAGACGAAAGCATGTCTTACCTCGCCGCCCGTGCTTGGTACTCGACGATCATGGCCAGCGAAAGACGCACGTCGCGAGCCAAGGTGTCCAGACGGCCGGATCCCGTGGTGTACACGTTGACCCCCAGGGCCTGCACATGCGTACCGGACGTAGCGTCCGCAGGTGCACTCGGATGTGAAGAAAAAGTAAGGCTGACTGTGACGCTCCTCTTGCAAGGGTACATGCACAGTTCCCGTGGCATCGCGGGCAACGGTTGCCTCGCGGGCTACGGATGTTATTTTTTCTCTCCCTTCTCTCTTCCCTCCCGCAATAGTCAAACTTCCCGTTCCACCGACCCCCCGTCCTCCGCACAACCACACAGGCCATTAACCTTGCTCCCCGCACCTTTTCGAGGCGTTCCACCCTGGTGACGATGGTCTCGGATTTGCTGACTTTTCTCTCCGCCATCATCTGACAATTTGGTTGATCCAGTTGTTTCGGCTCTTCAGGTATTCGGGTTTCGTTCTTCGTGTCAGTTGTCGGTAGATTTCGACCAAATTCGCAGGTGAACACCCCCGACAACCGGTATACGCTCGTGCACAGCAAGAAAATCTACACGAGCTCTTCTTTGCGAGCAATAGCTTTAGCTGTTTCTTCACGCACGTTGCATCTCTTCAAGCAACTCCGGCTTGCAACCTTAGTTCGAGGACAATCCGATCCGGACTTAGTCTCACCCTTGGAGTCTATTCTATATCCTTGTTGTGTGGACAGAGACACATGTTGGACGGTCGTGTAGCAGCCTTTCTGTAGAACTTTCAAGTAGAACAGAGCGCTCCACACGAAATATTGGGTACGAATGTGCAAGAACGCCTTCCAAGGGTCTGTGTTCGTTCTCGGGTGGCACACACCTGTCGCCTGATCTTCTTGACTAGGAAAGCACGATGAAGTCGGACTTGGGCCCAGTGGTTCCTCGCCGTACGTTTTTTCAGTATTATCCTCGAACTCTCGCCGCCGTCTTCTTCTTGTCCGTGCTGCTGCGGTTTCCCTCCTTGATCTCCCGACGCCCCTCGTTCATTATCCGTCTGGCTGTCACTGGTGGTGTTCTCCTCGTCATCGACGTCGGCGATGTCGTAAGGCACCTGTTCAGCATCAGTCCCACTTTTGCCAGCACTATCATCGTCACTACTATTGCTTTGAAGCAGCGCTCCTTCCCTCTCCCTACCTCCTTCTTCTCCAGGGGCGGTTTCCGTGCTCACGCCCTCGGATTCTCCTAGCACGTTGGCAGCCATGATTTCAACCTTCCGTCTCAGAGCGTGCAGCTCTTGGCGCATCGCAGCCATCGTTTCTTCGTGGTCCATCCCGTTGCCGTCGCCGCTTGTCGCTACCACCGCCGTCGTCGCTACCAGTCCTACTGCGGCGTCATTGACTGGCGCTGCGACAGGAGTGATCGGAATCGCGTCATCCTCGGGTACTTGCGCTTCGGCTAGAGTGTCAACGCGCGATTGCAGGAGGCACAGGTCTTCCCGCACGTTGTCGTTCAATGTCGAGAGGTGGTTCTGGCGATCCCGGCACTCTTGCTGCAACTCCAAGAACTTCTCTTCTGTTTTCTTCTTCTCCTGTGGTACGGTTCCGGTACAAGGCAAATTGTTAGTCCCACAGGTAGCCGCAACCGATATGATTCGCTTCGAAACAGGTCTCTCTGAAGCTGCAGAAGGGCGACATGTAGAAGACGAGGTATACGTTTACACGCTACGTGTGCTGTACGCCATCGAATGCGCTATGCGCTTGCAGTTCAAGCCAGAGCTACTGCACATGCAACGTTGTCGTAATACACACTTTTTACATATTGTAGTCAAAACGTCTGCCTTGTAGCCAAACGACAATTTCGAGGGTACACTTATTACTAAAATTAGACTACCAAACTATTTCATTATGTAGCCTTCATGTAGACTGCTGTACCACAGGTACGTATGTGCCTAGCGACGGGGGGTGATGACACTCTGAAAGTAGTTCTTGTCCCACTGTTTACATCACCAACTACTTACATATCGTGCCTGCTGCCAACAGTCTTCTAGATCCAGCAATCGCTCGCACATGAGGTGGAGAGCTGATTCCAATCCCCTGTGACCGTGCTGCGCCGCCTGTACTTGGCTCTCCAGTTGTGCCTTCAAGTGTTCCCGCCGGTTTCCACCGTTGCAGCTATTATTGCTGCTATCGCTGATCCTACACGGCATCGATTCGACCACTGCAATAGTAGCAGAAGTTGATGGCTGTGAAACAACTGCCCCCTCAAGATGGTCGTTAATTTTTGGATCCATCCTGCTTGCCCACACGATCCTTAATTTGGATCGTATCTATCAACCAATTTTCAAGATCCGAAATGTTTCATGAACAGGAGTTCGTGCACACACCTTTCGTGTTTACACCCCAGCATTAGGCACGGAACTGGTCTCACAGGTGTATTTCGATCATCTCCGTAACGTACCGCTTCTAGGATAACTTTTTTCAGCTCTACTGCCGCGTATCGGCCACCCACACACAGGCCCGTGCAACGCTTAGTTGGGGGGGGGGACGCGGTCCGAAATTAAAGCGGGGAGGTAGGGGGGTCTCCGCCGTCTGGTCTCCAGTGTGGTCTGTCCCTGTCCCGGTGTCCCGGTCTGTCTATTTAGCTGTCTAGCCCAGTGCCCAGTCCAGTGTCTGCTGTGTGAAGGTAAGCTGTGACGTGAAGACCCACTCATTGCCCATGGTGCAACCTTTCTTTGGAGGTACATAGTCTTCTCTGTTTAGTGAGCGCAGCAAACCTTTGTTTGCTCAATTTTTAGACTCAGAACATGTGACACCCGGGAGCGGGCAGGTTTGTGTTCCGCCGCACCAAGACCTTGCGGCGGGCACCGCTGGCTGTCGTTCAACTACTGCCGTGCGAGAGCCAGAGTAGCAGCAAGCGTCCTGTGCCCTCCTCATCTCGATGCTGAACGTGTGCCGCGAAATCTGTTTTATCCGCAGCACCGAGCAGCTGGTTGGGTTTAGGCGTACAGCGGGTGCAAGTTTGATTATTTGCTGCCCGAGTTCCTCATCTTTGATTTTGATTTCCCCCACAACCTATACTGCAAGGTTTGTGTTGCTACACCTGCTCTGCTGCTCTCTTATACGCGCAGAAGCCAATTGCTGTTTGTTTTGTTTTGAAGCATAAATGTAGGCCGTTGTGCATGCCTCTAACATGCAGTCTAGGATAGTCTTGGAGAGGGCGCTTAGAGGTTGCAGGCGTTCAAGTATCATTTGGGCCGAAATCCCTCTTTTGCAGCGGGCTTTCTCTTGTATTCGAAGTATACCGGAGCAAACACTGCGGTATGGTCCATGCACAACAACAGATTCAACATTCACCACAGCACCAAGGTACACTTTCTTGGGGTAGAAAGCCGACTGTTTATTGCCGTTTGTCAGAAATCTGTAAGTACCATTATAAATATAACGCCATCCAGGCGCAACATTCTACGGATTTTTTTTTTTTTTACTCTTTGACCTTTGTGCTGGAAAAAATGGAAATTGTTGCATCATTTCGTTGAGGCGGATGCACTTCAACGTATGCGAATATCTCAACGGATTGGTGCAGCTCTCGCAATTTCCACCCCGGCAACCTGTGTTCTCGTTTGATTTCTGATTTTCTTTAATATTCTGGGAGACAACGACCATCTGACCGCCATCTGCATCTGGAAGGCCATTTTCCATCGATTCGTTCGGGACATCTATAACCGTGGGATTTCAAAAACGATTGCGGCAACTGATTCCTCTCGTCAAAAGCCCGGCGGTTGCTCTTTTTTCTCGGACAAAAAATAAACTTCGCGAGAACAGCGCATTTTGTATTGGCGCCAAATATATGCGGTAAGTAATGCAGATGCGGGGGAATCGCGGAGGGGGCTCGGGGGCTCCGTTGCGATAAATGGGGGCACCGCGGTGATATACTGTAGGGGGGTTCCGTGGATCATGATTGTCCACAATCACGCATTTTCTCCGAACGACAAAAACTCTGCAGCTTTCACCATAAGTCGACCACGAGGCGATCACGAATATGTCAATGTTCCACCTTTCAATCCGTTTCTTTTTTAAAAGTTGTCGAACAAAACGTGCATGGTTGGTCACGGACCGTAAGTCTCTTGAATCATTTCAGGAGGGAAGGTACAGCAGTAGTGTGCTCGTGGCGGCGGCGGGAGGTATGCATACGCGAACTTATTGAGGAAAAATTGCGACCCCTGTTCATCCAAGCGCCGCTAAGAAGCTTGATGATGCTACAAACCCCTTTACCTCACGATACGTCGTGAGTATCATACCTCGTCGAACGACCCGTCTGGAAATCGCTGCGCATGCTGTCGCTGCAGCCGCCCAACATCTAAGAACAAGACCAAGAGCGACCGCGAGAGCAGCCACTCTTATCTGGTAGAGAGGAGAGGCATGGAGTCGCTTCGCCACCTACTCAAGAACAAGGTGGGCTTCGTGGCCTCGCCCGAGCACGATGGCAACCCCCCCACGGACGAGCAGCTGGCGTCCTTCCTGAGGAACCTCACCACGGAGACTGGGCTCGCCCTCCGTGGAACTCCGCCGGGGGTAAGGACACCGGGCTTTTAAGCGTTAAAAGAGGGACGATCTTAGTTGGTGACGGGCGGAGGGGTGTGGTGTGTATTCTGTTTCTCTGTCTCGGTGTTGTTGATCTCTCTCTCTTTTGTTTTTCTGGTGCGTCAAAAAAAAATGTCACCACGACGAAAATTCGTCGCTGATTGTTTATCCACTTCTCTGTCTCTCCGTCTCTCTCTGTCTCTCCGTCTCTCTCTGTCTCTCCGTCTCTCTCTGTCTCTCCGTCTCTCTCTCTCTCTGCCTGTTTCTCTCTCTCTCTCTCACTCCCTCTCTCTCTCTCTCTCTCTCTCTCTCTCTCTCTCTCTCTCTCTCTCTCTCTCTCTCTCTCTCTGTCCCTCTCGTTCTCTCCCCACCCCCCTCCCTCCCTCCCTCCCTTCCTCCCCTTGCGCCTCCAGGTCCGAGAGGTGGTGAGGGAGAAGTTTGCCGAGGCCGGGTGGGACGTTCGCAGCAACACGGCTACGAGGGACGAGCCCCCCACCGTCGACGAGCTGCAAGCCTTCTTGGAGGGGACCATCGAAGCTCTTGAGACGTTCGACCCTCCTGTTGGTGAGAGTGGAGAGATGGCGGTCGTGTTTTGCCGCTGTGTTGGTGGTTTTTACGTCCGTAGAGGAGGCCTTCGTTGTGAAACGAGATTTTGTTTCTCTGCTCCTCGATCGAGAGATGAGGGAGAGAGAGAGAGAGAGAGAGAGAGAGAGAGAGAGAGAGAGAGAGAGAGAGAGAGGCACAGCACGCGGGTGCAATTTTGCTGCTCTTTCGTTTCGCTCAATTTGTTTTGCACCTTTTGCTGTTCTTGCTTTGGGGATGCCTTGCGTTATCTGGTGTCAACTCACCCTGCACCGTTTCAACATTGATTTTTGCCTCGTTCCCGCTGAATGTGGGCCCCTCCCGTGCAAGAGGTGGGCGGGTGTTCGTACTTGTTTCGCCGGCCCACACGTGACGCTTTGCGGGCTTCTTTTTTGTTCTCGCCGTGTTGTTCTTTTAAACCCGCTCATTTACCGTCCCTCCGTCGCACGAGCACACTGCCTTGACCCTCTTGCTGTTGTGGTTGTCCAAGCAGATACATTGGCTTTTGTCTTCAGGTTCTACATTTTCGACGGTACATACCTTGTTCCACTCTTTGTCTTCTTTTTTCTCCCTCCCGCGCGTTGTTATTTGCTGTTCGCCCCTCGCATGACGTCATATATATATATATATATATTTTTTTTTTTTAAGAACCGACCGAAGAAGAGTTGGAGGACCCCGCACTGGCATGCCAGCGTCTGTGGGATCTGGACACGAACCGCCTGACACCGGAGGTGAGGCATGCCGCCAGACGGCAAGCTTAACGCACCAGTCCAGCAGTGGGGGTCCCCGAAGAAGGCGGTCTTAAGTAAGGCGGTCGCGCTATGTTTGGCGGGAAGAAAATACGGGCATACATATAGACGGAATATACATTGAGTACGGCGCGGCGGCCCCATATAAGGCGGTCGTTATCAGCTGCCCCGCCACCGTGTTATTCGGGGACCACGGTAGGTACATACCTGTAGACTAGAAGCATACAAAGAGAACTGGCAGGACCCCCCCCCGCCCCCGTAGTCCTGCTTCTTTTTCCGAGCATGATATTATCAGCAGCGGCGGTGCCTTCCCCTCTCGTAAGACTTGGTGGAAAACGTTTTCTGTCTGTTGGAGAATCAATCAATTTGGAGGTGGGTGTTTTCAGCTTGGGGTGGTCGGTAAGGCAGGCGCCTCGGAAAAACGTTCGTTGAGGTTGGTTCACTCGCTTGTGTTTTCGTGTGTGTGTTTTCTCCGCGTTGTAGCGTGTATCGTAGACCCACCTGTGTGACCGAGGGCGTGTCTCATCCCCCCCCCCCCCCCCCCGGGGAAAGGGCTGAAAGCTACGGCATGCAAAAAATGAGTGCACTCCCCCGGGCCCGACTTCCTGAACTGCTTGGTGGCCTGAGTGCGCTGAATCTATACAATTTGCCG